GTACCTCGCACATATATGATTCCTATATAATTTACGTACAGACAGGGTGTATACATATATATATATATATATATATATATACATATATATATATATCTCTTTATACAATTTATTCCGGGCAATTAAAAAAAACTGCGACTGCTTCAGTTATTGATAATTTTTAATCCTGTCCTCGCAGTTACAGGATACGTCCTAGATTCTTGCGGGATGTGTCTAAAAGGGATATAAGCACGACAGTGTTGGGTCATAGAGTTTCAATGCCTCTGGGAGTCGCACCCACCGCGATGCAACGTATGGCACATCCCGAAGGAGAATGCGCTAATGCAAGAGGTAAGTAGACGTCTCATGAAATATTTCCTCGCAGTGAGCTATCGACAGCTACACAGGATCGGTTAGAACTCTGCAACTCTCTTTATTGCACATTATGCACTGTACTTTTATCAATATAGATTGATATTTACGTTTATTTTGTAAAATATACATAAGGATTTTTGTAAATACAAACATGTATTAAATCATATAAACATGCTATAAAAATAGTAATTAAAGATTAGCCCAGACACGCCAACGATCACAGACAGATTAACAATAAAACTTTTCTAACATTCATTTATCATTCCGTAATTATTAAAGATTCGCGTTTAAACATAAACGAATATACTGATAAATGTAAAAAAATAAATGCATAATTCAATATATTTCATTTGTTTCCTAATAAATACTCCATTTTCAACGTTGATCCTTCGAGTATATTGCAAAATAACTTTCAATCGAGAAGCAATCATAGATTAGATTGCTTTTAGATATTAAACTATAGAATAACTATAGAAAATAGAGATCTCTTTAAGATGATATTGCGAGATTGTGTCTTTAGATTTTCTGTATTTAAAGAAAATGTTATATTGAGAGAAAAATACTACGACTAGTATTAAAAATGTGTTATTTATTTTACATGATCTGCTTATAAAAAAAATATATGCATCTTTATATTTCAAGTTATTCTATAATTTATTCATAATATATTGAAAACGGAGAAATTACGTATTTATATATTTATATATATATATTTTTCTGCACTTATTTCTTTAAACAATCTAATCTGATAAAATGTTCATAATACTTATTTATGCAGATTAAAACATTAACGAAATTAATTATGAAAACTATTATACAAAATATGTAACATCGTAAAGTGTTACAAACTATTTTCTCAAAAATCATTAGAAGAAATTGCAGAAAGAAAATGCTTTTAATGTCTAGAATAGAATCTTTTATGTAATTTGTATAAAGAGGTAAAAACTCTAAGAAATTATAAAATTTTCTTGTAACTTCTAATAATTGTCAAAAAAATAGTAACACTTCATGTGAGCCACGCTATATGTATTCTATTTGTGATTTCTTGATAGAATGTCTAAAACTTTGTTCGTTAAACAAAGTTCTATAATACAAACGAAACGTCTTAGTAAACAGCATTCTAAAAGGATATAACATTTACTGTAATGTTAATTTGAGCGAAAGGTGAAACTTAAGTGTTAAGATCGTTATCGTACCGTACTCTTAGGTATGGCTATGTGTAAGGCACGATAGAGCGCATATGCGATATGTATAAACACATCCGTTGATACGAAGACTGTTTATTATCCAGTCTGCATATCCAAGGAACGAAAAAATTTCGCTTTTACCCTATGTGCAAGATTACTCGGGCCGCGCAAAATTGATCGAGTCTCGCTCATCATCGATTATTTACACAAGCACGCAAGTGCTGTTCAAATTGAAATTTACGTTGACTAGTAACCAGGAATAAAGGGATTCTTTCTAGGATTTCTATATAACGGAATCCAGCGCGAGCCTGTTGTTCAAGAATTATGGCAGTACAAAGGAAGAAAGTTCACTTGAGCTTGGGTCCTATGTTTTCCCAATTATTAATAGCCTTCATGTTAACTTGTTCTATTCGCCATTTCTGAGTAGGTGATGATTTATCGCAAGTAGTCACAAACACCCTCTTACTGCCTGGATCTGTGTCTAGGCATCTGGACGAGTAACCATGCTGTAGCCATTGCTTCTCGACATCGTAACGCCACAACTGATTGCCTTGTTTTCCATGACAAGGATACAGGCTAACCGGTGCTTTCTCTTCGCCTCTGGATACGTCCAAGCAATCCGTACGATCCTTCGGCCTGATGTCCTTATGCCAGGTCAACCGGAACTCCTGTTCACCCGACACTTTTGGATCGTCCTTTATGCAGGTGTCCATCACGACAAGCTCGTCTCTCTTTCGTTTCTTCGAATCCAAGCACAGCTCGGTCGCGCCCATGTTTCTGATCTCTCCATAAGCAAAGTCATCCGGCTCGATGGGCGGATACACCTCCACGAGATCGAAAGCTACGTTTTTTATGAACCAGTTAAACGGTTTACAATGCAATTTCGCGCGCAAGGCCTTCTGCTCCGACAAATCGCCCGGATCCAGCGTCCGCAAGTGCGGTCGTCTCTTGTAGATATATTCCGCGTACTCGTCCATCCATACTTCGGCGACCCTCTTGTAATTTTTTCCCAGAAAATCGCCGCGGCCGGGATTAGGAAACGGCGGGAATTTACGGTAGATGTGACCGACCCTGGAGCATGGTGCGTCATACATTTGACCACCGCACTGCCATATCTTGAAAGATAACTCGTATTGCTCACCGCCCCATATGTCCAAGCCCGGATCGTAACCACCCAATTCCCAGAAAAACTTGGCGCTGATCGCGAACAAACCTCCTGCCATTATAGGACTTTTGAACGGCTCCGCGGGTCTTCTCAGGTCTTCCGGAAGCAATGGAAGCCGCTTATAATACAGTTCCCAATCAAACGCCCCTCGGGCACCTTCATCTTGCGCTCTGTACTCAAAGGTCTCGTAAGCTATCACATCGATAAACGGACAGACGCAAGTTTTGTAATTTTGCGCGATAGGTTCCAATAACGGCGGTAACCAATTCACATTAGCTTCGCTATGCGAATCCAGGAATACGAGAACTTTTGCTTTCGCTTTCTTCGCACCCGCCAACCGGCCTCTAATCAATCCCGAGCGTTTTGACAATCGTACAACAGATACTTTCGGCAAGTGTTTGGCGACGTAATCGTCCAATTTCTTTTTTAATTCGACTTTCGTGCTGGCATCGTCAACCAGTATAATCTCCTCTAAGAGAGAAGGTGGTGAGCGGTTAATCACGCTCCAACAAGTTCGTAGTAGCGTGCTGAAATGCTCGTTATGGAAGGACACTATCACAGAAACAGGATCCAAGTTCCTCGAGTATTTCTTCTTTTTGCAATCTGGATGGCGAATATCAGGCACTGAACGATTCACCGAGATCTCATCACTAAGAGCCGCGTTGAATCCATTTACTTGATACAACTTTTCTTTCCGCACGTCGAGAGATGGCGAAAGAAAAGCCGGTCTTCCGTGTTCTCCCATCCCAGTGCGTTTCTCCTCTTCCTCAATCTTCTTGTAATCATGCCAATCAATTTTGTCGTCCACATCCTGTTAAATATGAATAGAAATTAGTGATCAAAGATGAAATAAATTTATCTGTTTTTATAAAAATTTTTATAAAAATATTGTTTTTATAGAAATACTTGATGAGTCGAGGCAAATTTTAAAAAATAATTCTCAGTCTGTATTTTTCATATTAGATATTATTATTATCATGTTAGAAACTTAATAGCAATGCATGCGCTAATATATTAAGAATCAGAAAAAATAGATTTTATTACTTTTGTTACTATTCTGCCTAGAAAATGTTTCGCAAAATTTGTTTTTGCCAAAGTTAACTATTTATATCATTTTGAAAAATGATTATAAGATGGCAGATTCTTTTTAGTTTTCATTATCAATTTATCATCATGTCCGAATAATATTTTTCCGTTTTCTAATTTGATCATCAGAGAAAGCTAAAGACAGCTGGCTGGGGCATATAATCGTCTTGATACATTCCTGATTACTAGGAATGCAAGAGAGATGCAACTAAACTCGTTTGCTACCTGTTATGTTCCTCATATGAGGAAAGTAGGTTTTTGAATATGCATATGGGATCTACTCGTAATACTCCGGAGTGATGCCTAATGCTTCAAATGCTGATGTCATGAACGATCCGCGAATATTTATTAATATAAACGCGATAATCCGGGTAAAAGCTTCCTTCTACCGTGCATGCAGGAAATTGAACTCAACGAAGTTACAACGGTACCAATTCTCCCTCAATGTCCGATGATTGGCGCGAGGTCCTATCCTGTTCGCGATTAATTTTCCCGGGGAATTCAACTCGAAATGTCATATACCGGTTTGCATTCATATCTCAATAAGTTAGCAGTTATCTCAAAATGTTAGCAGTATTTCCAGAATGTTATGAATTAATTCCGTCCGCATTCTGTCAGTGTTCCATCAATAAATTTCGCTATTGTATATCTGACAGCAGATTTTGCTAGTAAAAACCGAATAGGAAACTGTTCATTTATTAATGATTCATATTTAAATGATTAGAAAATAGCAGATTGGATTTGAAATCAATGTGCCGTCGGATTTTGTTAAGATTTTATTCTATATTTAAGCATTTTAGCATTCTGCCAACAAAATTTTTCACTAACTCACCTTGCAACATTTGTTTTTGACAAAGCTGACTATTTAGATATGATTACTTTAAAAATGATTACAAAACGGAAAATTTTATTAAGTTTTTATAATCAATCTATTATTACATTTTATTTCTATTAATAAGTTTGATGATTAAATTTTTCGCAAACATCTTGAAAACTCTGTTTTTAACAGACTTTCTAGGTATCATTTTAAAAAAAGGCTTACAAAATATAAAACATTCTACTCAGTTTTTATAGTTGAATTGTCATTACATTCTGTTAATCTTGATATGATTGTAGATGTTATTTTTGTTGCTATTTTAACAAAATTTTTCACAAATACCTTGCAAATTTGTTTTTGACAAAATTGACTATTTAGATATCAATTTAAAAAAAAAGGATTACAGAACAGCAAATTTTTTTGTTACT